TTAGAACCATCTTCCCCCTGTGGACTAAATAAAACGTTCGGTTCAAAATTCCAACGTATATCACCTGTAGAAGGCCGGAGCGTACAACAGCCGAAACCTCGTGAATATGTTAATAAAGATGAGGACAAGGGTCCGAACGATGTAGATAGGATAAATAGTTACAATACCTCATCTAAGAAATATAGACAGAGGCATTTTGAAGAGTCAGTTTTGTTTTGTTTTATAATTTTAATTTTTTACTTCTATAATTCTAAAACATTATATTTATGACAAATCCAAAATTACAATGGTTACTTTATTTCTAAACAATAAAATAAAGTTACTTTCATATTTAGTTTGTTTCATATCTGTTTTTGTTCTAGTATCCATAGTTTCGATATGGCTTTTGTTTCATTAAATGTTTTAATGTGGATAATTAATTCAAACATTAGAATTAATATAACATTTCGTATACCATTTTTAACGGGGTTGGACGTGTTGGATCTGAAGCTGCGCCAAATTAATTGCAATAAGACCTCAATAAAGGAAGAAGGTACCGTAGAGTAATGGATAGTGGCTGAGATTAAGGAATCGGAGAGCAAAGTTTGAATTCCAGTCGAGTTCATTACATCCACTTACGGGCTTGGGAAAGGCATGAATCCAACTCTTTTACTTTCAGCTAAATAATAGGACAGACTATTTTTCTATAGTCTATAGTCTTCAGTGGCAACCGTTCAAGGAGAAGAAAAACTCTGAATTTAAAACTGTATGTAGCCCTGGCGAAACACTATACAGCTAAGGAAAGGGTCGTTCGCATTGACTCAATGATCCCGACTACGGTCAACTAGAACTGGGAGAGCTTTCATATATTCTATTTAAAATAGTAAGAGAGACTCAGTTCTATGGCCTTGGGTGGCAATCAGTTTAGGAGAAGGAAAACTCTTAATTCAAAACTGTATGTAGCCCTGGCGAAACACATACTAAACAGCTATGGAAAGGATCCTTCGCATTGACTCGATAATCCCGACTACAGTTGAGTCCTAAAGAAAAACTATAACAAAATAAAGAGGATTAACTTTTCAAGCCAACTTAATCTTGCCTTTATCTACTTTATTCTTTGATTTTCTTAAACTGACTACCAGTGGAACGGCAAGATTTAAGTGAGCGTGAATTGCACTATTACTTGGCCTTAAGTAAAGAACTCCATGATATTAGCTTAAAGTGAATAAAAGTTTCAATTTTTTTTTATTAAATTCTACCTACGATATTCCAGATTGTTGCAAACAGTTAATTAAGAAATAATTGATAAATATATAATATCGATCTAATATAACATCAGTCGATGTTAAGAAATGACAGGCAGGACAATTGTGTTGTAGAGATTCATACCAACCTAGAAAACCAACGTTTACTACCCGGGCCTTTGCCTGCCATTGAACACCAACCTCAATCAGAAGTTAATTCTACACAAAGTCCTTTGTCTCTCGATAGTCTTTTTTTCGGATGCACATCTGATGTAACCTAACCCTACAAGTTCGGACACAACACGTATGTCTAGTCCAACCAGTACTGACCTTCACAACTAAGACCCGCAATATCATCTACGCAGGGGGCAAACCACCCTCATTTCCATCATATTTCATTTGTAAAAAGTAAGTCCCTTTCGGCGTGCTTCTTGCCAAGAGTCCCTGCTTTGTGGAACCACACCCAAAATAATGCTTCCCCGATCATTACAATCTTAACATCGTCAAGTTAACTGTGATCTTTCCTATATATACTCATTATCTACATTTTTACATTCATAAAATTTACATCGTTTACTAACTTTCTGCCTTGAGTGGCTCTTGGGCCATGTATTGGGTGAAACATCTTATTTGTTTAGCTATTGGTGTGTCACTGAAATGTTGTTAGTGTATTTTTGTGAAAAGTGAGGGAAAACATTGTAAAATGCCTAACTCCATCTACGCCTATTTTGCGTAATTTTTTTTTCAAAATTGGAGTTTTCAAAAGTTTTCTGTACCCGAATATCGTTTATGTCATTCTTATAGAGACTAATTTGACCTTTTCAAAAGCGGAAAAACATAAAAAAGGGCATTTGTCAATTTAGAATTCTACAGATGACATCGAAGTTATTCTAAAATGAAAAGAAACAAAAGGATAACCTTAGCAATAACACAAACTAAACAGACGACACTAACTTAGTTATTTCCCACTAATTCGGTATACGTAAGATTTAAAATGAATTTCTAAAAATGTAAAAGCTTTCTAAAAGATTTCATTTTTTCTACTTTCGAAGTGCGCGCCATCAACTTTTCAAACTGAAACAAAAAAAGGATTGTGGATGCTTCACACACAAACACTCCTACACAGGCAAGTCACGCCTAAATTAATTAGGCTTGACCTTTATTGAAAAGGACACTTCTTTATTTAGCTTTTTTTGTCCTTTGTCAATTTTGGAAGGTAAAAATCAATGTCAATTACCATTTTATTCTATGGCTACAGAAATTAAATTTAAAATTACTATTTATATATTTTTACATCATGTCCTCTGTAATAACTTGACAGAATTGGTAACCCTAGGGCTGATATACACACAAAACAAATACTGAAAGCTTATATTATTCGGACAGGCAAATATATATATATATATATATATATATATATATTATTTACATGTATTTCTAGTACCTTAATAAACATATTACCAGCAGCAGCCTGGGGGATATAAAAACAGGCACACCTTTAAGTAACTCTCTTTTCCTGTTTTTTCTTCTTTCAAAGTGTCTGCCTTTTCACTCTGAAAAAAAGGGCTGTGGATGCTTCACACACAAACACCCTTACACAGGCAAGTCACGCCTAAATACATTAACAATTTTTATACTGTATCGCATTTATTTCTAGGTAAAGAAACTCTTAAACTTTCCTTTTGTAATTTTTGTTAAAAAAAGTTATCTTGTTTTGAAGATCAATCGGTCTCTGTTATTTTGTGCATGTACTATTTCACCACTATTATTTCATGTAAAAATTTTCACATAGAGACCTTATACATTAATTATAGAAGTAGCTAACACACTAAATATTTGATTATTTTCACACATGTACACAAATGACCTATTAACTGATTTAATAGATTGAGATAAAGTGGAATGAAAATTGAAAAGAAACTTTCAAGAATTCTAAAAATTGAGTTTTAGTTGAGGATGTTTATGTTTTCTGTTAATAATGTATCTCATTAATTCAAACTAACTAATGCATTTATTTTAGTATTTATATTTATATATTTTTTCATCATGTCCTCTATAATAACTTGACAACCCTAACACAAAACAAATACTGAGAGCTTATATCAGTCGGACAGGCAAATATATGCATTTTATTTACATGTATTTGTCGTACCTTAATAAACATAGCAGCAGCAGCAGCAGCAGCAGCAGCCCGGGGGGGGGTATAAAAACAAGCACACCATTAAGTAGCTCTCTTTTCCTGTTTTCCTCCTTTCGAAGTGTGTGCCATCACGTCTAAATACATTAAAAATTTTTGTTGTGTATCCAACTTATTTCTAAGTAAATAACTCTCAAACTTTCCTTTTGTTATTTTTATTAAATACATGTTATTTTGCACTGCAAATCAATCGGTCTCTGTTATTTTGTGCGTATACTATTTCACCACCATTATTTCATATAAAATATTCTCGTAGAAATCTTATACATTAATTTTAGAAATAGCCCTCACACTAAAACAGCTTCCTGCGTAACTTTTCACTCTTCATCCTCTCTCTTTGTTCATGTTCTGTAAACCATTATTCGGCATTTCCTCTGCTTCTATTGCCTTCAACAGGTCTTGTAAGTGTTAAATTCTCCAGACCCCCTTCCTTTATTATGTATCCCAGAAATTCCAGTCGTCTCTTTCAGGTTTTAAGTATCAGTTTCATTGCCGTGACTATACACCTTAAAACTTCCTCGTTACTCATGTTCTGTCCATGGTGTTGTTAATATTTGTCAGTAGAATCACATCTGTGTCACTTCAAGTCCCCTCTTCATCTGTAAGGAAATTGCCCCGCCTTCACTGTCATATAGGAGATTAGATATTAAATGGCAGTTTAGCACTATTTTCTTTCTAATGACTTTTTCAGAGACAGGACCGTCTTGGGTATGACGATAAACTACATCCGACAGCAAGGCTTCTGATCAGGGGTTTTTGAGGAGCATGGAACGAAATCTTAATTGCTGGTATTCCCAGGTTCACCCTGACCCAAGGTGGTAGCACCTGTCAGGGTCCCAGCTATGGGCAAATAGTTACCGCCCCAAAGAAGGTCAAAACTCTATGAAAGTATAAAAATAAGTTTTAATACCAGTAATACTTTATTTGAAAAAGGATGAATTAAAAAGACAACACTATATAAGAAGGAAGCGTGAAAAGCCTTGTTTTTCATTGGCTGACGTTGACTGACATATGTTAATATGAACGGTCGAAATCCGAGCAACGTCGGAATTTTATTTTTTTGCAACGTCACGGTGTGTAGCACGACACTTTCAAGGAGGCGGCTCGGATTTGCTGTTGGAGCCCATATGATGCAAAACCCGAAATCGGCGATAAGGACAGACCATCACTAAAGACCACCCTTGATGCATCTAAAATGTATTACGCAAATACCAGTAATACATTTTTGGAAAAGAAAGAAAAGAAAATTACATTCAATACATTTTTCGAAAAAAATATTACCAGCAATATATGTTTGGTAAAAAATATTACCAGCAATAAAAATCTTGTCGGCATTAAATAACCCATTGTGATTGATATGCCGTAAAAAAACCCAAACCAAAGACAGGGTGATATTTTATTAAAAAATAAAAAGGTTCATGTTATAAAGTAGTATATTGTCGTGGTCGATACACAAACGGAATAGGGACAACGTTTTTCTTCTTGTCTGGGTGAGACTATAAATAGTTTACACTATTCACATATACACTTTGATTTATTACATTTTTATACAATAAAGTTCACTCAATACAAGGTGCAACTTGCGGCCATGTTATGTTGAAACACTGGTTCTCGTATGATCAGCGAAGTTAAGCAACGTCGAGCCGTTCAGTATGGGTGACCGTTTGGGAATACCAGGTGATGGCTCGGAATTGTTAATCCGAGAGCCAAGTTCCAATTCCAATAGGGTTCCTTATATTTACTTAGACACAAATACCCTTGGGAAAGCTATGAATCTACCCATGGACCCATGATATGGGTTAATTAGTCAGACTTGGATCACTAAATCATTATTATCTAAAAAAAAAAAAAAAAGAAAAAATTAATTCTTACAATCTAAAAATATTTTCTGGCTTTAAATAACCTGCAAAGGGTAGATAAACCGTAGAAAACAAATCAATCACAAGTAATACAAGGCTAGAGAGCCACCCAAGGTAAGGTAATGATAAATAAGGTGTGTGGTATGAATGAAAGAAGAGATGGTAGGAATGAGAAGACTATGAGGATAAGGTGGATAGATATTGACACTTGACCTGAAATGGGTTAGATTGTAGCATTCAAAAAACGATCCACGAGAGTTTGTTCCCAGAGTAGCAGTTCAGAAGTGGTGGGTGGTGCTATCTGGGTTGAACTTTCTCCTTACATTTGAAATACGGAGGAAAGAAGGCAGATTCGACATTATTTAATCATGAATTATTTATTCAGAACAAACACTTTTGACTCCTTGAAATAAAATGACATATTTGTAGTTTTCATTTTTTTTTTTTTTTAATTATAAATGTTTAAATATTGGGAGTTTCCGGATAATGCAATTAAATACTTGTAAAATCTGCGAAAATTTCTAAGCCTCATCGAAATTCCCACAAAGTCAGATGTAACCCCCAACTCTTTTTTAAAGGATTTTAAGCAAAACAACGACGAAAGGTTCTACTCTGTTCTTCCAAGACCCATCCCCAACTTTTTTCCCCCTATTTGAGAAAAGTCAACATTTTAAGTCTTCTAATTACAGTTTTATTCCAAACATCATTACGAACACAGATAATATAAATACCGCTTTCCGCCCTGAATTTCTTTAAAAGCAAGTTTTGAAAGAAAGGTTGACTGACCACTTCCTCCCTTTACTTTTGTGTCCACTATACAAGGTCACTAGTCACCCAGCAAACGCTTGTACATCTTTGTTTTGAATCACTGCTCCACCATCTCCACATCCCGCCGTGACAAAGTCCCAAGTGCCCCCCACCCCATATTATCCGTCAACTTAACTCAATCCTTGCAATTGTTAAAACAAGGTGTCAGCCTACTTAGTTTCGGGAAATTTTGGTTAGGAATTGAATTGGTGGTAGTCAGTTAACGAGGGACGGGATAAGCAAGAGGATAGAAGTCAGGGGTAGGCTCTGGTGAACCAAGGGGAGTGGGGATCGAAATTGGAGCGGCTGGCGAAGAAGGTTCGGAAAAAAAAGGTGATGGTGGGGGCTTAGCGTGCGAACTTTGCACTATGTCGAGGCGTCAATCTAAAACTCTAATAAAACCCTGGTTCTTTTCTCTCCCCCCACTGTCCCGACTAGAAAAATTTCTTTTTTTTCCCATCTTCTCCAGTTACACCCTTTGACACCAGTTGTCAACATGTTTTTATCCTTGTTGTCTGTGTCATTTTTTTCCGCCTTTTGCAGTGGCTAATGATAAAATTCGATGATCATTTTCGAAAAATAAACGAAATACATTTGTTTTTTAGTGGTTTTGAAAATCATAACAATTTACACTGACGCATCCTTTAGCCTTTCGAGTTCGTGTAACTGACCTTATAAGACGAAATAGTTTCATTATTCCATTATAATTTTCAGTTTATTGTCTTCATTTTTGTTGCTTTTAGAACACAATTTTGGTTGATGTTGGATGTTCAGGTACTGTAGTGGTTAGCGGCTTGAAACGAGAAAGTCGCAAAGCGAATTCGAAATTCGGTCGAGTTCGTGACATTTACTTTCGCACAAATAACCTTGAGAAAGGTATGAATAAATCTCTTCTCGCCTCAGCTGTGGGTTATATAGAAAGGCAGACTGAGCTCTCTAGCTGTGGTTGGCAACCAGTCTAAAAGAAGGACAACTCTGAATTGAAACCGTATGAACATATAGCAATGGCCATACAACAGAGACACGATAAAGGTTATGGACATTGTTTTATTAAGCTCTTTCTTGATCTAAGTTTTCGGCTCACATGGGCCATCTTCAGACTGATTATGTAGACATTTAAACAGATATTCACCATCAAAGTTGATATTCTGTTATGTTGACATAGAAGATTGCTATACACACATATATAAATTCATATATATTCAATAATCATTCATATAAATATATATAATCATATCACAATTAACTATTTAGGCACTCAAAAATGAATGCATAAATCTTTAGATGTATGGATAATTACTTATATGTGGATGTATCTTTCTGTAGGAAGTTATATAACCTTCGGAATAATTTTGAGAAGTGAGTGGGATCAATTATGTTTCAGTACCCCACATTTAATGTGCTCAGGATCAAGAGAAAACTAGATAAAAAATATGCAGTTGGCATACAATTTTCATATCATATATATATATATATATATATATATATATTTATATATATATTTATATATATATATATTATATATATATATTATATATATATATATATATATAAATATATATATATATATATATATATATATATATATATATATATATATATATATATATATATATATATATATATATATATATATATATATATATATATATATATATATATATATATATATATATATATATATATATATATATATATATATATATATATATATATATATATATATATATATATATATATATATATATATATATATATATATATATATATATATATATATATATATATATATATATATATATATATATATATATATATATATATATATATATATATATATATATATATATATATATATATATATATATATATATATTATATATATATATTATATATATATATATATATATAATATATATATATATATATATATATATATATATATATATATATATATACATATCCAAGTATATAATTGGTATATACGGAATGAATTCCAATAACCAACAATTACTATTCTTAAAAGAGTGCTCAATACAAAATTGAAACTTTTAAAACCATTTATTTTATTTTAACATCATCACTTGATAAGACACAGAGTGTATTGAAACAAAATGGCTATTTTTGTAGTGATTTTATAACATACTTATGTTATAATTTTTTTTATAAATAATAATTATTATATATACATATATATATCGCCCCAAAATACTAGATTTCTTCAGTAATATAACACATGCGCAAAAAAAAAAAACAACCCCCAAAATACCCCAACTTCATTTTATATCTATTCTCCCCTCAGCTGTAGGTTAAATAGAAAGGTAGACTGGGCTGTCTAGCTTTGGTTGGCAACCAGCCTAAGAGAATGACAACTTTGAACCGGTTGGAGATCTAGTAATGACCATACAACAGAGACACGATGAAGGTTATGGAGTTCCCAGCGATATGGGGTTCTGGACAATGATCTCGACTGATCTAAGAAGGAAGGTATAGCATAATAGACCACTTTTACATTTAAGTGTTAAATACTTTTTAGATCATGGTTCCCCACGTCTTCCTGTCGTTTGTAGCTCTAAGTAATCTTTGACACTTTTATCAGTCCACTTTATCTCTGTTCTGTTGTCCATTCACAAACATTCTTTAAATAGGTTACACATTGTTTACTCCTTGTACTCTCGCCTTCATTATTTCCTGCAAGTGTTAAATTCTCCAAGCACTCTTTCCTCATTTTTATAGTGTGTGACTTTATGAATTTCTGGGATTAATTATTATCAATAATTTTACATATTTTACAAACTAAGTGTGATTTTTTACAATTGAATGCAGACACACGCAAGAACGCCTGCTAGAGAAATATGGTTAACAAGCTTGTCTTACCGGAGATCGATGCTCACAGGATGACACTTTATTGAAGTTACTAAGTGAAGCAAAGTATATCCACAGATTCTCTATAAAAAAAAAAAATGGAACCCATGAAATGCAAAGAAAAATATCTGAGTTTATAATGTAGTAAAAATAAATTTTATTTTTTTCTCTTAGATGAAGCCACCATACTTATTAAGGCTTTCACTGCTATATTATAGCATTTTTGCCTGGCTGTATTGACACGTTTTGCATTTACTGGGAATAAAATAATTAAGCAAGGAAAATTCGCCCTCTTTAATAAGATTTCTCGGGTTTTCAGGTGGGTAGACGAATATAAATATACTGTATAAAAAATAAATAAATAGAGCGTCTATTCAAATACTAGTATCCACTAAAAATTTAAAGTGATAAAAATACGTCTATATTTCTGAGATGAGCTATTATGTACACTATTTACATTATTCGGACTATTGTCCTCATCTTTGTCGCCATATTTATTACAACGTTTCGGCCCTTCAGTATCTATATTTCTGAGATGAGGTATTATGGATACTATTTACATTATTCGGTCTATTGTCCTCATCTTTGTCGCCATATTTATTACGACGATTCGGCCTTTCAGTATCTGTCTATATTTCTGTGGTGAGGTATTATGTACAGTATTTACATTATTCGGACTATTGTCCTCATTTTTGCTGCCATTTTTATCACAACGTTTCGGCAGTTGTACGCTCCGGCCTTTTTCAGATGGTTGGATACACAGATGTCCTTAAGGACACATGGCACAGTGGATAAAGGCTTTAGTTATATCCAGTGACAGGACCCAAAGAGTTGTGAGTTCAATACCTGGTTAAGGCAGTGGAGAGGTGAATGAACAGAAGATAACTGATAACTGACATCCATTAGAAATGTCACGTGGAACTAGAATAGTCTACTCCAGTGAGCGAAATAAACGGTACAGTTCGATATTCCAACCACCTGAAGAAGGCCGGAGCGTACAACAGCCGAAACGTTGTGATAAATTTGCCAACAAAGATGATTAAAATATGCCGGATTAATAAATGAAAAATCCATTACTTCTTTAAGAACTGCTTTGTTTACGTTTCTGATACGAAACTGAAAAGTTATGAACTTTCAGTAATCTGAACTAGA